AAATAAGTAAGTAAGTAAGTAAGTAAGTAAGTAAGTAAGTAAGTAAGTAAGTAAGTAAGTAAGTAAGTAAGTAAGTAAGTAAGTAAATAAATAAATAAATAAATAAATAAATAAATAAATGGTGTTTTAATTTGAAAGTATAAATCTGGTTTGCGTATCTTAGCTTTTCGGCTGTGGGTTTCTAAAAGCCCATCTCTTGCTGTGGGAGGCACAAACTGTATTGGACAAGAAAGTAAGCTAGACGGGAATGAATGATTTTTCATTCTTTTCAGAAGTTTCTGTCTCTGTCCTGCGATGAAGCGGGAAGTTAGCTTTCAGACCAGGGGTTTAGGAGACCTGGGCGTTTCTTCAGTTGCTGAAGAGTTAGTGCTTCATGGTAAGAAGAGCAATAATAAGAGGTATGCTTTCTTAAAAGCTGCTGTCCCTCACCTCTGTAATGTGCAGCTATAGAGTGGGAGTGTTGGGTACAGTCAGTTCATATGGAATACACCGTATGCTCCCTTTTGTCACCTTTCGAGTCCTCTTGAGACCCATGAAATTGGTGTGGCAGACAGTAAATATTAAAAAAAAACCAGAAAACCTTTGGCATAGGCAGTTGAAATTCAGTTTCCTCATAAAACTAGGACAGTGGTGTGAATGGTGCTTGATCTCTCTTGTGTGCAAAGGAGGATTTTTTTTATCCTTCCCTTTTCACCTTTCTTCCTATAGCTCTTTGAGGCAAATCAAGATTGGATCTCTGCCATAACCCACACTGGTATGTCTTTGAATATCCGGCAACCTAAAGGTAAAGCTGAGTTTGGAAACTGCATTTTTTTAACGTTTCAGGGTTTAATCATTTAGAACTGGTGTTACTGTAAATTTATGTTGAGTAGAGGGATGTTCCATGGGAATTTCGTCAAGCACCCCATTTTTAATATAGTAAAAAAAAAAAAAAGAAGAAAGAAACAGGAAAAAAAGAGGAGCCATTATTTTGGGTTCTGTGCACGTTTTCTCCTATTCTGAATTGTGCTACTTGAGCTACTTTGGATTTGCAGATTGACTCTGCCCCATGTCTCAAATCTTGAACCCAGCTCTCAGTTTTCAGCTGTGCTTTGCCTGGAATAAAAGAGACATGGGTTAATTGTAGGAGTTCCTATGACCTGGCATAATATATTTGTCTGATAGCTACCTTAATGGCCATTTATTGGAAAGGTGCAGTACTACTTTAATAAATAAGTAAATTAAAGTGCACACAGTTACCTTTTGTAAATTTGAGTTTTCAAGCAGTTATGTATAACCATTAATAGGAACATCAAGTCATTTATTGTTTCTATATCACAAAACATTTTTCATTTTCCAGACTTGAGAGAATGACATTAATCCCATCTCTTTGTCTGTCCTTAAGTGCATTCATGCTAAATAGTAGCTAGCTGTAAAGAAGTGTAATGTAAATAGTTCTACGTAACGTGAGAAATAGAGATCTTGACTCATATAATGTGAGAAATATAGATACTCCGGTTTCTCTTTAGACCTTATAGATCTTGACTGTGCCTTGACAAACAGCAAGTGGAGACTATTGTAACTAAATGATCTTCCACATGAAACAATTAGTTCCATAGTTGTGCTTAACTTCATTAAATTATAAAAAATACATACTGCAACCTTCTATACTGTACTATGTTAAATAACACATTTGTTACCCTCTATTTCACTGTGTGCTGCCTTGCTATTTCATTCCTTATATTGTGGGGCCCTAGGGAGCAGGATTGTTGCCATTTGTATATAAAAAAGTGTTGTAAGCCCCTCTGACTGTGGAACAGAGTGGGATATAAACCATAAAAATATATAAGGGTGATTTAACCATATGAAAGAAATCTACTCTTGAAACCTAATTATGTGAGTAGAGTAGAATGGTTAAAATATTTTAAAGGATTATAATTTACAAAAATGGTTTTGCACATGTGTTTTTAACTACACTTGAACTCAGTGGCGTCTTATGCCAGCTATGTAAGTAAATTGTGGTTAATGTTCCTGCACTGTAAATGCATAAAGCAGAATAGTTGTTCACTAAAATCTGCCATTGCTGGTCCTGAAACAAATATTTGCATTCCAAGTTTTAAATATGACCCAGGAAAGTTCTGGTATTGTTAGATGATTCTCGTAAACATTTATATAGCTGGTTGCTATAAAAGGAAAAATGAACATAACTGTGGAAGAGAGAACAAAAAGAAGTAACTTGTATAACTACCCTACGTCTGATATTCAGGACTGATTTCAGATGGGAGAATTGGAGATAGAAAGGAAGAAATTAAACTAGCTGTAGGGAGCCATTCCATCCAGGCAAAGAGTAAAAAAATAAAATGCCTCTCTGACGGCTGAGGGGACATATGTATAGACTGAAACATATGTTTTTCTGATGAACCGTATATTTGTTGTTGTTGTTGTTGTTGTTGTTGTTGTTGTTGTTGTTTTATTTTATTTTATTTTATTTTATTTTCAATGAATAAAAAAAGAAAAAAATTACAAATAACAGAAATAAAACTAAAATACAAACACAGTAGTAACTACACACAATACACAATAAACATTTGCCACCCATGCCACCTTCACCCTTGGGACTAGGTAATCAGTAATATCAATTTGTACCACTTTTCACCCCATTCCTCTCCAAAAATACATTGATTCTTCTGCTGGCATATAGTCTTTCCCCTTTCAAAAGACGTATTCCAAATATAAATTCCGTACATCATTAAAATCATTAGACTTTACCATTCCTCTTATTCTATTTCACATGTTAACATCATTAATTGCTAAACTTTGCATTTCTTTATACCAGTCTTCAAGATTAATTTGTCACTTTTCCAATTCTTCGCAAATATTAATCTTGCTACCATGACCATTATAACAACTAACTCTTTCTGATCTTTTTTCGAATTATGTATATATTATCTATCTTAGATATTCTAACTGAATATTCCTTATGCTGTGTTCCTTACTTTGTCTCTTGGGTCATCCCAATAGCCTGATTTCATCTCCCAGCCCAGATTGTGCTGAGAAAAGATGCCCGACCGTGATAACACCTATAACGGCAGTGGCAGCGATGAGGCAAGTGCGAACTCCGATGACATCTGCCGAGACTTCTTGCGCAACGTCTGCAAGCGAGGCAAGCGCTGCCGCTTCCGCCACCCAGACATCAATGAGGTGACGAACCTGGGCGTGAGCAAGAATGAGTTCATCTTCTGCCACGACTTCCAGAACAAGGAGTGCGTCCGTATCAACTGCCGCTTCATCCATGGCACCAAAGAAGACGAGGACTGTTACAAAAAGACTGGGGAGCTTCCTCCACGTCTCCGCCAGAAAGTGGCCGCTGGGCTCGGCCTTTCCCCGGCGGATCTGCCCAACAGCAAGGAGGAGGTCCCTATCTGTAGGGACTTTCTCAAGGGAGATTGCCAGCGTGGGGCCAAGTGTAAGTTTCAGCACCTGCAGCGGGATTATGAGTATGATGCCCGAGGGCTGCCCGCCCGAGAACAGGGCATCACGACTCCGGTACGTCGATACGACTCCTATGACCCCATGTACGACTCTGACCGATGCTATGACGACCATGACCCTGTCCTTAAGCGGCGGCGGGTGGACGGCCTTCATTTTGAGACTTATGAGTACAACTTTACTAGCCCCCGTACCGTGGAGTACCGGCTCTTGGAGGAGGAGAACTTAATGCTTCGCAAACGTGTGGAGGACCTCAAGAAGCAGGTGAACAACCTCCTGGCGACAAACGAAGTCCTCTTGGAACAGAACGCCCAGTTCCGCAATCAAGCCAAGGTGATGACTCTCAGCTCCACAGCTACAGCCACTGAGCAGACTCTGGCTCCCACCGTTGGCACAGTTACCAACTACAATCATAGCATTGCCCAGACTCACACCACCCTGAGCAGCCAAGCTCTACAGCCACGGCCTGTCACCCAGCAGGATTTGGTAGCACCAGCAGGAGCGCAGGCAGCACCCCCCAGCAACGCAGCGCCTCCAATGAACCCTGAGATCACCCCATTGTCGGCAGCTCTGGCACAAACCATTGCCCAAGGCATGGCTCCGCCTGTCTCCATGGCACCCGTGGCTGTATCGGTAGCTCCTGTGGCTGTATCCATGGCTCAGCCGCTGGGGGGCATCACCATGAGTCATGCCACAACGCCCATGGTGACATACCCCATTGCCTCCCAGAGTATGAGGATAACAGCCATGCCTCACTAGCTCACTTCCAAGGGGAGTGTTTTCTCGTTCAGCCTGTGCTATCCCCAGCTCAAGGGAGAACACTGCTAGGATCCATTTTTGTCCTTTTGAAGGGTCAGGAAAAGAGAATGGAACTTGTGTGGATTTGTAAGCCACTAACAATTCTCATCTCTTACAAGGGGAAGGACTCTAGCTTGGGTTGGCGATTCATCCCAGGCAGGCATCTGTGGTTTCCTCCCGCCTCAAAAATGGCAGCAGGACTCAGGGATTGTGGAACTCACAAAAGCAATTTGGAGAGTGCAGTAATCTTATAGCCTTTGTATGTATCCTGTATCTATTTTGCAGCCTGTCCATCCTCATGTAGTAACCCAAAAATCCCTTTGAATCTCGAAACAGAGTGGAATTGCCCCATCTAAGGAAGCTTATGCAAATACACATGGATTCCTGCGATGGCTCAGAAAAAAAAAAAACAGAGCTCCCATTCCCTGGCACTTGCCAAGGGAATGGAGAGAGCAGAGACTTAAATAGTAGTAGCTCTGCAAATAGGAGAGACTGAGCTGGCCTGTGTCAATGGTCTTTTTTAAAGGTGGGAACCCAGTCTCCTAGGTGTAACTTGGAATATTGAGTTGCAGCTTGATCTCTGTTGCTGTGATAAACAGAAATCTGCCAGAAATGTTTACAGGAAACCAAATTAAATCTAGCCATTTCTTCTGGCTCAATGAGGATTGGAAAGTTGAGATTTTAGCCATGGAAAAAGCAGGTTCAACTTGCTTACCGTTATTAAAGTTTGACCATTGATGTAGTAAAGGTGGTTTTAGGCATACCTGAAGATGGCATCTTTCGTATGGATTTCCAAGCAGATTAATTTTTGGTTGACACTTGTGAAGGTCATTGGCACTTTGGAGGGCCAGAAAAGTTAATTTGTTTTCTCCTGCTCTCACACTCTTTCCATGGGCGTCTTTACTGCCTGTATATCATGTCCAAATTGCTCTTGTCTCAAGGACTTTGCTGTTATAGGGATTTATCTGCTGCCCATTACAGTTTGTTACACAGCACATCACCATTTTTTAAAAAATAAGAAATCTCTGTTTTTGTTTGGTTTTGGTTTCTTCTTGATTTTTTTCTTGTTCTGTTGATGTGAACTTCAGCTCCTCCTTAAATCTGAGAGCCGCTTTTGTGTCTGTTGTGTAACATGAACCATTTTTATTAGAAAGTTTTAAAGAAAATGAGGGGGAAATGCATCATGATCCTGCTGTTTCTATAGTTAACAGTGTAAATGTTTTTCAGCTATTAAAACAAATGTACAGTCCTCACACATGTCCAGTGCTGACATGATGTAATATATGTATTTTTAAAGTGCTTCTTTTTTCTTTCTCTGTCCTCAAACCTCTTATTTTTGTGAATAATACCTCAGAATACCTCTTGCGAACAAGTATACACCCTGAAATGTGTTTTCCCAACAACCTCTTCCACTGATAGCATTTCGGAAGATAGCAAAGGAAAGGGGTGGAGAATATCGAAGATTATTTTGACTTCAGGTGCCCAGGTTATGGGTTTTCAAAATTTGCTTCTGCCTGGGGATAGCTGAATCTGCTGAGTCTGACCACAGATTGCTATCCTGAACTTGTTAACTAGGCTGCTATTCTGAGAAACTGCCTGTTCTGTGTCAGGAGCTGAGAAAACTCAAAATGCTGTCCTGTAAAGAGTGAACATGTTTAGGATTGCAGCCACTTAAAGGCTCAGGTTTTCATGATCACCATCCCTCTAAACATTGTCAAAGCTAAGAGACATCAGCTGCCCATGGTGCCTTGTAAGCTGTATCCGCACATGTCTCTGTTTCCACTTAGGCATCACGGAAGGAAAGTCCAGTCATCTCCATAACACATCAGCAGAACTCTGATTTTAGCCAGAAATAAACAGTTGCATCAATGTGTGATTTTTGGTTGGAACTATGCTATGTGGGCTTTAGTTATTTCATAGGTCTCATTGCAAGGATGGATTTTCTTTATCCTGTGCCATTGGTCAATGTGTCCTGACCTAAATGGCCCTTGTATTTAGGTAAGTACCTGAGCATCTTGCATATTTAATCTGTAAGGGATAAAAACAAAAGTTCAACTTCTTGATATACAGTGGGGGTGGGGATGTTAGCAGAGCAAAGACAGTGAAACTTTAAAATTTACATCTGGACTTCATGATTGTAACTAGACATGAGGATGAATAAAAAACGGACCATAATATTTGTAAAAAATGGCTGATGTGTTAAATGTTCGTCCCTTTATATTCGTCAGTTCCAGAGACCTCGATGAATATGAAGGGATTAATATTGCCCCATTTTTATTCATCCCCCATACAAAAAGAGGGAAGGCTAGCAGGCCTATTAGGTGGGGTTAAGAGGCTAAGTCAGGACTGACATGGGGCCTGGCACAAGCTGGAGTTATGTAGCTTTTAAGATGCCAGTATTAATTGCCAACAACACTGTCTTGCAAGCAAACGTACACCAGAATAGCGATGCATGCTTACACCAAAGGCCTGTCTAGTCCAGAATTCGTTCCTATAGTGGCCAACTAGATGCCTATGCAGAGCTTACAGCCAGACCCCACGGGCATTGGAGACAATGTACAGTATAGCTATCATAACTATTATTGAGGACCTCATCCTCCATGAATTTGCCTAAACTCTTGTTGCCCCTTGGCCATCTCTACATCTTGGTGTACTGAATGTCACAATTTGTGCATTGTGAGCACCAGCCATGGGATTTTGAGATTTCATAGACTAGAAATTTGCAGGAATTCTTGCAGCTAGACTTCTGTAAGCTTTAGCAAAAAAAAAAAAAATCTTTTAAGTGTCTGTAATAATTTTCAGCTGAGAAATAATGGCTTTGCTCAGATATGGTGAAGCTGGAGGAATGGGGCTATGGGAATTGCAAGCTATTCTGTGTCTGGTAGTCAGTTGTACAGGGTGCCTCTTAGGAAACTAGCAGACCCATAATGCCTTGAAGTTGAGCGGAACTGTTGATAAATCCTGGGAACTCCAGACCTTGATGCTAAAAAATTATATCAGCCAGTTTGTCCAGCCTAGTGCCTATCAAATGAATTGGTCTAGAATCCTTGTCATCCTGATTCAGCATGGTCACTCAGGACCTTTTCAGGCTTGGAAACTTCCTGCAGCATTCCAGATGTGGAAAGATTTTTGCAGGTATAGTACAGTAATTTAACCCACACTGAGGTACTTGTCAGAAATGCTGTACTTGCACCTCATTTTACTTGATTTCTGTACTTTCAACAAGGGGGTTTGAGTGGAGTGTCTATTAATTACATAGTGGAGTGTCTATTAATTACAGCCACAAGACTGTCCATTGGAGGAGTCGCATTTTCTGCAGTCTGGCCAATAGTGGAAGCGTTGGCCCCTTGGAGAGGAATTTATCTTCTACTTAACAGCAGAACCACTTATGCCGGAATGCTATTAATGCTCAGGAAATATGTAGTTCTCCATAAGTTAGAGCTTAAACAGAATGAGCAGACCCAGCAACTGCCTAGCAGGTTTTTGAACAAGAAAATTGAGAGCAGGAATATGAAGGCAGAAAGCCAGGCATGACCAAAGAGAGGTTAAGATTGGATGGGATCCTGCAAAACACATAGGTAAGACAAGGGTATAACTATCCAGGCTGGTTATTGCAAAATAAGTTGTTTCTGAGGTCAACCTCAGTGTGCATTTACTAAACATGTAATTGCTTGTTTGCCTATCAAAGGAGGGGGGTTGGATTTATTTTTCTTTACTAGAAAAACTCCACCACATGGGACAAATCCCACAGTCAGCTTCCTATCTTAGTTCGGCTTATTTTAGCCATCATGGTCACCCATAGGCCTTCCCCAGTTTCAGTACAGGTGATTGAACTGAAGATCTAAAAAATAACCAAGAACAGCAACATAAGCTTGAAGGAGAGCTGCTCCTCTCTGTCATTTGCTCTTTTTAACACTAAAAAGCAAGCCTTAACACTTAACATTATAGTAAATGGGCATATTCATGTTTCTGAGCTACAGTTATTTTATTAATTACCCCTGTTATGCTGAAGGCTTAAGGACTATTAAGGATGCATAGAGCACAAAGATGAAAGCAGGAGGTCAAAAGGTTATTACAAGCAATCGCCTTAATTGGCAGTGGGCTTCTTTTCTGCTACCAGGAGGGAGCTGGATTTGCCTTTGGAGAGGCACAGCTGAAGATGATGAGCAGGACAACTGGGCCCTTCTGGAGACCTGAAGCACAGAGGTAAGTGGCAATTTCAGCCTTCAGCTGCTGCTGTTTAAGTTTTTTTGAGCTTTCTGTTTCAAAAAAAGGTTCCAAACAGCTTAAAGTATTAATAATTATTATAAAGTTTGCAATTCAGGCTGGTGGAGTGGATATGACGTTACAGAAAGTCCTGCAAGATTCTAAGTTCTGAGACAGTAAACTGGGTAGCACAAAATATAGGCTCTCCTCTTAAAAATCTCAGTGATTCTTTTGGTTGGGACAAAAACCTTACACTGCATTGGGGCATGTGTTAGAAAAGCAGACAGACCTGAATAAAGCCAAAGCAGAGAAGCTGAATGCCCAGAAGACGGGAGGAGTGCCTGAGCCTCCGGTGAAGTACTGTATAATAAGATTGCAAAGATGGACTGGGGTGTGCAGGAGCCTAAGGAAAAGACAAAGAAGGGAGGAAAGGAGTAGACTATATCTACATGCACAACCCACTTGTTTGAGATTCAAAGAAAGATTATATGGCACCATGTTTATGATATCTATACACCGTAAAGGCCCAATTACGTTTGGAATATTGCCTTTACCTTGAATTGCAAAATTGTGTTGGCTGATTAAAATGGCTCAGATTTGCTCCTTATACTGATTTCAGCTAGCCTGCTCCAGTTTAGACTCACATTGGTTTAAATTGGCTTTTACTTTCAAACCATTTCAGACCTAAACGTACTTAATTTAGGCACAAACAGGACCGGCAACAAGATGCTGAACTTGCGCTTCTATTCAGAATTCCATTCAGTCACCCTCACCTTTTCCCAGGATATTCCTTTTCACCACCTCCTCCAGAGAGACACTGCATTCTATGGCTTTTGAGCATGTTCAGTCTTCTTGGGTTATATTGACACTTTCCTAGAAGGCGTTTTGTATTTCTGTAAACTTCTGGAGTCAACCTGATCTTTCTCAATGGCCCTGTTAGACCACTCTTCTTCTGTTGGCATTTACTCATGGAGTTTGCTATTAGCAGGCATCATGTTTTCTCTTCCACCATAGCCTCCATGCACCTCTGAGCATGTCTCTGTGATCCCACATCTCACTAGAGGAGTAGCACCCTCTCATGTCCCCAAATCTACAGTTTCTGTTTGTGGCTTGTTTGACAAAGATATAGTTCAGTGCGTCTGAGAAATAGAAACCAATGGCTGGTGAAAGGAGACGGAGCTTTTTTTAGTAGCTGCCGCTGCTGCTTCTCAAGAGAGAAATGGTTGCATCCATGTACTGTAGCTTTAAAAACATATTTATTTTTACTGGCTTTTAATTAAAACATTTTAAATTGCTTCTGTTGAATGGTACTGCATTTTAGTTTGCCCATTTTAAAATGGTTGAAATTAAGGTGCTTTTAATAACTTTACACAAAGTTCTGGTTTCATATTGTAAGCCTAGTTGCCTTGAGGAAGCTACAGTTTTGAAAAACATTATAATGTATACAATATTTAGTCAGAGTTGCCTCTTTCCTTCTAATCGTGAGAGTAAGCTACAACAATTCATCACAACCATAGTGTTATAAACCGATGGGGACACACTGTTTACGATCAATGGGCATGAAGGTGCATAGCTTCCTGAACAGAAGCCTAAAGTTGACTCCCCTTTGTGTTCCCCGAATTGATTAATATGCTCCCAAATAGAGTACTGTGCACTTTTACAAAATTATGATGCAGTGTTATCAGTAGTAATTTATTTTTCAAGTGAACACTAAAAACGTCAGCATATATAAAGGTATAAAAATGATAATCTATCAATAAGTAAATGAAGCCACATGGAAGAAAATGTGCATATTCCACATAACACAAGTTACACAGACGGTGGATATGAATCTATTTTTTTTTTAAAGAGCATATTATAGGAACACAATTTCTATTAGTGCCTCGAGTTGCGAACTTAATCCATAACAGAATGGTGTTTGTAAGTCGAATCAGCATTTCCCATAGGAATGCATTGAAAACTGATTAATCTGTTCTGGCTGATTTATATTCTTATGTAGAGGCGCTGTTTGTAAGTCAAAGTATTCATTCCCATAGGAACTAATGCAAAAGCAGCAAATCCCTCCTCTACCATTAGGGGGAGTTTTTTTTTTTAACCTAAGATGACCTAAGGTTAAAAAAGGCACGAAAGGAGGGAGGGAACGAACACCTTTTAAACAAAACACCTTTAAAGCCAAGCACCTTTTAAACCAATGTTTACATTTTAAAATTACAGTACCAGGCAGTCCAAACTCAATTTCCCGCTTTTTCTACGTTTTTTTGTTCATAAGTTGAACTTCCGTTCGCAAGTCAAAGAAAATTTTGTGAACAAAGCTGTTTGTAAATTGAATTGTTTGTATGTATGTGGGGGGCGTTCGTAAGTCAAGGCACCACTGTACTGAGATATAGATCTAGTTTGGATTTTTAATGCAACAAAATCTACATATACAGAAGACTTTCTGTACAGAACTTAGCTCAATTGTGGTTGAAGATTTTGTTCAAAGATCTAATCCAGACATTGAAATGCTTTTTGCTCTCTTATGAAAGGGAATAAAGTTTCAGTTTTGTGCACACATGTATCTGAAGGTAAAGTCCATAAAAAACAATGAGATTTCTGATTAGTAAGGCTGCAATCCTATGCCTTAGAGCAGTGGTCAGGGAACAGGGGTAAAGTACCCCAAATGGAGTAAAAATGAAAATCCTAGGGGTAATGAGGACTCGTGTCCTCATTCCCCCCTAACCCCCTTCCCTCCTCCTCCTCGGCCTGGAGGGGGGGGTCCCTGGCAGCCCAATCGCCCCCTTCCCACCCCCTTCTCCAGGTCAGCTGCAACCAAACCATGGCAGATGGCGACAGGCCCTGGCCAGTGGCATACAGCAGCCGAGGTGGAGGGCACGGCCAGGGCGAGTGGCTGGAGGGCCCTAGCCAGAAGGAGCCTCTCCTTTCAGTGCCTGGAGAGATGGATCACAGTGGGGAGGGCATGGCCGTGATGGGGTCCTGGGCCAGGCTCAGCCTCCTGGCGCTGGGCCGCCCCCCATCCACATCCCCGGAGGAGCCCGTTGGGCGGCAGTGGTGCTCGCCTGGCTGTACGGCTTCCTTCAGCGGTGCCTCCGCCCTGGCCGGCTGGGCCTGGAGGAGCGTCTTGCCCTTTGTGCGCCAGCTGTCACGGTGCTTCAACAGAAAGACCCGCGGCCGCCCCAGCGAGCAGCAGCCAGAGCCAGTGCCGGAGCGGGAGGCACCGTCGGGTGCTCCCAGAGGGCGAGCCACCTGCTGCTCTTTGACAGCCACCCAGGAGCTGCCCGCCGGTGGAGAAGGAGAGCCACCCCAAGGACTGAGCACCACCCTGCCAGGTGGCTGCGGAGGAGGAGGAGGCGGCCTGGGCGGCAAGGCTTCAGCGGTAGGGCGGTGCTCGACTGGCTGCATGTGACCGAGATCCTTCCTTTCAAATCAAGGGGGTAATGTCGGCGTATATACAGTAAATGTTTTAGGGGGTAAAAGGTAAAAGAAATTCCCTGACCCCTGCCTTAAGAGTCATGCCAAGAGTAATGAGGTGTCAGCATAGTTTAGGCCTACCCCGTTACAAACACAGCTTAGAAATACACCACAGTGGTGCTCTTGGTGCGCACTTCACCACTCCCTCAGATACAAAGCATACTTTGACTACATAAGGCCCTGTCCGTCTGCAAGAGAAGATAGGCGAATAGGGACTAACAGATGCAGTGGCTTGTACTTCTTGACCAGAATTACT